GTTCTGCTTCCATGAAGCAGCTCTGTTGTCCTCCATCCACATTTTCAGTTACAGGCTGAATCATTTCTACCTTCTCCTCTCTGTCATTTCTCCTCTTTCATTTAAATGAGCCAATCATCAGATATTGTCCAAGATTAACCTTCAGGGTGGATATAGCTCGCTAGCAGCCTTGCACCAAGGACCTATCCACGTCATCATTTACCCAGAATGCTTTGCGTGTAAATAAAATGGCCCCAACCGTGTAATATATTTTTAAACTTTCAGTTTAAAAAATTACAAAAACTAAACAGTCTACAGTATTTTTACAGCCTTTGTTTTTCAGTTAAAATATATGTTTATCAAATAGTCTAATGTTACAACTAATCATGGATCCCTTTAACAATAAGCATTTAACTTTAGTGCTGTTGTGACCTAATCCTAAAACCATCCATACAGCTAATTACTACCTGACAATGAAACATTCCAGGAAAAAAACTCCTACTCACTGTCCACTGCACTCTGACAGATGATGATGAAAGAATAGTAGGGTTATGCAGATGAATGACCACTTCTCCCAGTTCTCTTTGGACCTGCCGGTGGTCCACACCTTGACTGGTGGGAGGGATGTCTGTATAAAAAGTCACAAAGATGAAACAAGGGGAAAAGCTTCTACTGAAAAATAAATATACGTGTAAAAGGCAGTTCTCACCTTGTGTTTTCACAGCATCAGAGACGGGACTGGGATCACTAAGTCCATAGGCATTGGCTGCACGCACTAAGAAGAGGTAGACTGCACTGGGTTTGAGGCCTTTCAGTACAGATGACTCCGTTTTTACATGTTCTGCCAAGGTCTGCCAGCTGCTCCCCGATGCATGACTGAACACACAACAAAAAATAAAAAAAGGAATTGAAATAAGGCTTAAATAAATCCATGCAATAATTGCTTTATTCATAGTGAAGCTGAAAAGCTTTACCTGAAGGCCTCTATGATGTACGAGGTGGGAGTGGCTCCAGAGTTAAGGTTGGGTTTCCAAGATAATGTGATGGAGGTGCGGGTCACATCTGTAACCTCGGGTTTCAAAGGAGCACTGGGGATCAGGTTTGGGTCGGTGGGTCTGTTAGGTTGGACTGGGGCTCCAAATTCTATGTGCGGAAACGAAAGCATGCAAAAACATGTAACAAACATCCATATCTTCCAAGTTAACAGACTTTTGCGGGCAAATAAATATAATCAAAATCTTCATGCAAATAAAAGAAAACTGTTATTAATGAAACAAAAATCGTATTGTTGGACCTAATCAGTTTTACCTTGGACTTCTAAAAAGGCTTTCCATGAAGCCTCTCCACTGGGAGTAGAGGCGATGCAGGTGTAGGTGCCGGTATCACCAAGCTGAGGGAGGAGGAGGTTGGAAAGAAATTTGATTAAATGGAAATTATTTAAATGTGCCCAACTGTTTCCCTCCAGTAGCTTCTAAATCTCTTTCCCCCCAACCACTGCTGTGCCTATTGAAATCTGAATGGAGTCTGTCGCCGGCAGCTGTCACTGTCTTGTAATCTCTGTACCATCTCTGTTGTGGCAAATCCAGGGGAAAGCAGCTGGAAGGGCCAAATGGCAGACCGTATCTAATAAAATGAACAAGTTAGTCACAACATCATAAACTAATTAAAGATATTTTCTTTCTCTTCTATTTGTTTTGATTTGGAAAAAAAAAAGAAAAAAATATTCAATGCAAAAAAAATGTGGTAAAAATGGATATGGCTGTACTTTGGTCATTCACAGTTGAATTCAAATGTATTTAAAAAGCAAGGGTTTATGGGTGGGTTTTCATTTTCCTTCCACTGCTCTGTTTTCATCTAGTATTCATCTTGCTTCTAGTCAGACAAACACTAACATAGTTTTCACAATTATGCATATTTAAAGCAACCGCCAGTTCTGCTAACTGAAGGAAAAAGTCTCTTTGGAAGACAAATATTTTAATACAAGGGCTGTTGTGCTGTGTAAAATAAACACAAAAAATCAAAGTGATAAAATGTATGAATAATGAAACACAAGCCTGCCAAGTCCCTAAGGTGTGTATTTTTTGGTTTGCCAGGATAGAAATCTATTCAAAATGAAAACAATAACACAGACTAAACCATATTACAAAAAAAAATTATTATATATATAAAATTATTAAATTAAATTATATTATATAAATTATAAAAAATTATTTCACCACAAGACACACCAGCATTCATCAGAAGACCACAAAATGACGTGAACTCTGACCCCTTAGCTTCAATCTGCAATACATGTCAGCACCCCCCTACTTGTCTTTGACTAAGGGTGTTCGGCATCACACGGTCTACCATCATGGCTGCACATATGGCCGCAGACCGAATGACACACACACACACACAAATAAAATAAAACCACTGTGCTTACTGACTGACAGGAACTACAGAGTGTTCAACTTCACAGACTCCATTTCAAACCAGCGACAACTGACTGACAGCCCACTGAGTGCTGGCTGCTGGCAGAAACACACGCTTTATTTACAAAGCAGCAGGGGTTTGCCAAGCTCATTATGGATGTAGTACAGACAACTTTGAAGTCTACTGGAATGGAGTTAGACATTAAACGCGGGGTTAATATAAAGTCTTAATTGGAAACGGCAATATTTGAGAACAGAGCCAGGTGTCTTACCTTGGCATATCTTATCTGCAGTGCACCTGTGTCCAGCTGTTTGACCCTGGAGTCATGCGTGGACACTAACACACCGTCCTTCCGCCACAAGATGGTGGGGGTGGGGCTTCCAGATGTCACACAGTTCAGGACCACAGTACCATCCACAGCGACTGTTTGATTGGTCGGACCCTGTCGTATAACCGGAGGCGGGCGGTCTGACACCACTGTGCGAGAAGGAAAAAGAACGGGCAGTTATAAGGACACGTAGAAGCTGCCAATGGACTATTTCGCAGATACCGCCATCTTTGCCTAGCGCAAAGCATCATGGTCCATTTTGGAGGCATCTGGTCTGCCTGCCTCAAGATTATATTAAGATTAAATTTTTATCACCCAGCCAAACTGGTCATAATGCTGTCAATATGATCACTATATACTGGGATTTTCTCTGGTAATATATTTAATATAGTGCCATACTATATAAATATAATATATAGTAATTACTACATTATATTATGAGTGAAAATATTGCCCAGCAGTATGACCTTGCCTCTATTTTGCATTTCCAGGTTGCTATTTTAGGCAATAATTCCAACATTTGAGCAGGTTAAAGTTCTGCACGAGTTTGTCCTTTTTCTGATTAGAAGTTGGTACCTCAAGAACCAAATTAAACATTCTAAAAAGTGCAACAATCCAAACTTTAAATCTTTTATAGCCTGTCCCATCATTTACTTTTCTTTTGTTTGCCCCAAACAATCCCACAAACCATTGCGCGCTGCATCCGGTGGGCGGCGCTAAACGGTATCTGCGAAATACTGTAGTCCATTTGTGTAGCTAAATAAACTAAAATTATGTCAATTATGTACCAATGAAAGAAAAGAAAGTTAAAAGAGATAGAACAGTGAAACCTGGAAAAACAGCATGTAAGAATAAATGAAGGGATAGCAGATAAGAAATTTGTTCCTGTTTTGAAGAACGAGATAATTGTCTAATCATTCAGCAGCAGGGGTCGATTTTAGCCCCAAAACACCAAGAGTGTTCAAAATGAAACTGCTTCGGTTCATTCACAACAGATCCACCTGAGACCTAGGGGCGTGCATTAAAATGTTAGCAGCATGCTATTCATAAACCCATCCCCCAGCCATAAAACAACAAACAAGGGAGGAAAAGGGCTTTAAAAAACATGTAACCAGAAGAGACAATGTCATTAACACAGAGATGCTGAAACTCCTTGCTGCCTCGCAGCCTGTGCTATCCATGGGTCTTCAATTAAAAAACACAAAGACAAGCAGAGTCATGAAAGGAAATTTTGTGTTTTGACAAAAAGGTTGTAACACAAAGAAAAACAAGTGCAGCGGGAAGCACAAAACGACTTCATGTGAGAGGAACTTTAATTACATGAACTGATGAGGTTCTTTTTTTTCATTGTACTTTATCTCTGCTGTGTGTAATTTATTATCTTCCTACAATAGGTCTTCTACCTCCCTCTGATTGTTATTATTATTATTCATTGCACTATTGATGACCATTGCTGTCAGCTCTGGTGATTTGCCAGCGATTTGCATTCAGTGAGGAGAACCTAAATTAATGTTAAACACAATGTAAGGCAACACGTATTGATGCATGTATGTAGGCATCGATTTTCAGAATGCTGCTGGAATTTAATCTGCAAGCTGCTATGTCTCTGCCTTTTTTTTTTTTGTAAGGGATGGTGCAATTACTAAAACACTGTCAACATGACCTGTTATTACCAAATCTGCCTGCAGAGAAGTGGTGGCCTCAGAGTAGCCTGCTCACTTTAATAACTGTTATTATTATCCAGAGAGCATAGCTGAATGAGAGAAGAGCAAGGAGAGATGGAGCATACCACTGCAGGCCTTAAATAAGGAAGGACATTTGGTAAATGAAGAGATTAATCTAGGTGTGTCAAAGACAAAGTAATAGATGCCCAGATAACTGTGGAAATGTCAGGAGTGAGGCGCAGTTTGTCCACGGGCTGCAGGGATTGGCTAGCAGGATAATTAAAGGACCCAGTCCAGACCTCACCACATACCCACAGTCTTCCAACGGTAGACTGCAGCTAGCCAAGCATGGAATACCAAAGGAGATGTTAGGCAGCGCGAAGCCAGAGAAGCCTAATAGTGAGCCACGGTCTGGGTGCACAGGCACCAGAGAGTCTCTACCCCTGACAGGAACACTTCGAACAGGCCAGACCAAACCTCACAAACCTCAATACGGATATTAATATGCTTTAGAGCTCAACCACAGAATTACAGATACTCACAAACTTCAGATTATCTAAAATTCCAATATCTCTCTATTCAACTTTTTTTTAGTGTTCCTAATTCTCTTATAAGCTTTGCTGCAGGCAAAAAAAACAACTATCTTTAAAGTAAAAGTTGCATACCATCAGTAACCTCTAGCAGAGCCTTGGTGATCACACTGCCAGCAATGTTCAGGGCCTGGCAGCTGTAGTATCCCACGTCTGAGCGTTCAGCGTCAGTGATGGTCAGGTCTCCGGTCTGAGATACGGAGAACCGGCTGGAGGGTTGAGGAGGCTGATAGGAGAACAGCAGGTTCTGTCAAGTAGGACAACAGAAAAACACACACACAAAATAAAAAACAAATAGTTAAAAAAAATTTCTGTAATGGAATAAGTGTGCCAATGAAATGACAATCAGGGTTCCCACACCTTGGTCAACATCAAATTTGAGGACCTTTCAAGGACTTTCCAGTACCAATTTCCTCAAATTCAAGAGTCACGCGCGACGGCAATTACCTACTGCTACCCCAGAATGTTACCAATAAACAGGTTTAATATCATGTAAAGTCAATGAAAAACTGAACAACATAGAAGTTGCTGAGTCAGAATCAATGAAATAAAGTGGATTAAATGTATACCCTACATTCAAGTCCACAATACTGTAATCCTGAGTTATCCGCTGCAACAAATGTAGGTCTTGGTTCTTTTTAATTTTATAATTATTATTATTATTATTTTTTACAGATAGAAAAATCAGTCGTGTGAATAGAGAACTTCAATACCCCCAAAAAATTCAAGGACTTTCAAGGACAAGTGTAATTTTTGGCTGTTTTTACAAACTTTCCAGGGCCTTGAAATCATTTTTTTCAAATTCACAAACTTTCAAGGATTTCAAGGACCTGTGGGGACCCTGCACAATGTAAATTTAGGGTCAAAAAAACTTTTCTTTCCCTTGTAAATCTTTATTTACAAACATTTACTCTGATACTTTCTTGTTTAAAGCAGGCTCAGGTTGAACTGAATTGGGCTGTCATTTTATGTCTACAAATAGATTTTTTATTTTCAAAGTTTGAAATTAAATTTAAAATCTAACTAAATCATGTTTTTTTTATTCAATTTACCTGACTGCCTTCCCGCTGCCAGAAAATGGCTGGCTGTGGGTTTCCAGTGGCCTCGCACTGGAAAGTGACGGTTCTGCCAACTCCAACCACCTGGTTCCTCGGTCTCACCACAAATGTTGGCGGCACTGTAGGGCAGCCATAAAAAAATGGTTAGCCTCTGAATACACAATACACTACAATAGAAATGACAACAATACAGTAGCCAAATTTCCAGCATTATTTAAATTAAAGACAATATTTTTTTTGTATTGAACCGTTTTTAAGAAATATGGCTCTTTCACATTTATGCATGGTGACTACATCTGGTTAAAAAGCAGAGTGTTCAAAATTAAAATGGAAGCATAACAAGCATGTAATAAAATTTAAAGAACTGGTTGCTGTTATGCTACTCATTTGCATTGGTAAAAGCAGGGAACATTAAAATTTACATGGAAATGGAGACTAAATCTGAGCCATCTGTCCATACTGACAACCTCCAATAGTGCAAGCCTCAAACAGAATTTAGTATTCATGCATCTTAATGATGTTTATTTTATTAAATAAAAAAAGTGATATGGTCCAATGACAACCATGCACTTATCTAAGAATATTCTATGTAAGGAAACACAAGCTCACCATAGAGGTCAAGAAAAAGGTGGGTTACACCTTTAATTTGAAATAAATGTTAAAAGTTTTAAACAAATTGCACCTTCTTTAAATAGAAGCCGTTTGTTACACAGAAAAGGCAATCTTAAAACTGTCACCTGAAATACAGACACAATTTGTCTACAAATACGATGCCTTTTTTTGGGTGGGGGGATGCATAAAATGTGTGAAAATAACAGAATGAAATGATGCAGCTTTACCTTAGAGGAACAAGATGAGCATACATCTTTTTTTTTTACCCACTAATGTCCTTTTGTCACTGTTGTCCTTGACAACAGCGACATGAGTGCTGACTGAAGGGTGAAGAGGTGATGGGTGAAGGATGGAGTGGGGGGTTTGTGACACCTTCCTGTCTCTGTCAGGGCGGTGAATAGGTGACAGGTGACATGTCAACTTACCAGACACAACTAAAAAGGAAACAAAAACACAACAGAAATACAAGGATAAATAAATAATAAACAGCATGACAACAAGAGGAGAGTTTAAGAAAAAAATAAATAAATGCATGATGGTAATGGATACAAATACAAATAATATCGCCGTCCTGCAAAAATTAAACATTTCATCCATGACTCTAACTCTTGGGACTACATGGTATGTGCTGTAAAAATAATAAGCATTAAAAATTAAAAGTTCATTAAAATGCATACACACAAAAACACTGATATTTTCATAGACTTGTTCAGAGACAGAAATAAAGATGAATTAATGAAGACAAAAAACATTTTGGATATCAAGATGTCCAAAGATGAACACCCTGACAATATCGATGAGGCTTCGAACACCTTAAGCAGCAGCTGGGTCACAATTCCTGAAACATACCTTTGCATATTTAAGACTGGCCCATAAAACTCAAGGTGAATGTTAACTGTCACTCTCTGGTCATAAATCTCCCCCGGCCAATCACTCACCTTATCTAATCTGTCTGCTTCAACAGCTCCCAAGGAAACATAAACGCTGTCAGTCAGAATAATGAGTGAACCCCCCACCCCCCCGTCATCCACCCCCTGTCTATTGCTGGCCTTTAAAATGCAGATAAGATGTACATCAAACACTCTCAGAAGGAGACGCTCATGACTACCCGTGTGTGAGAGGCTTCAGATATGCCACACTCGTGAGACACCCGCAAATACACAACCTCTCCACGCCGCTTCCACGCATTCATTCAGATGTGTCTAAGCCTTTAATTAGGTAACCTTAACTCTGTCATGATGCTCTGATCACAGCTGCGAAACTGGAGAAAGAGGTGAGCTTTAAATCTGACCTGGCTACTTTGTTTTGAGCTTTCTGCCAGCTTAAAGTGTAAAAGGGGAGTCTATCAATGGTTTGATCTGAGTAATTAAAAAAAGGGAGGAAAAGGGAAAAAACGTAAGGATGATTGGAGCATGTCAGGAGGCGGGTTTTATATGAAACACCAAGGAAGCAGTCTTAATGGAGATTTGAATGACGTACTGGAAATAGACATGAACATTACACCAGTATCAATACGATCCGACACCAAATTTGGTATCATGTAACATACAATTTGTACAGATTGTTTGTAATTTACACGGATTTTCCGTCATTCTGCATGTACATGGACGTATGGAACAATCTCGGATTTTTTCATGTTTTACTAATTTTTTTCAAAAACTCAGTCTGAAATTTTTTTAACATGTCAGAGCCTGTATAACGGTAAAAAATAAAACAATTAATAACATCAAATATCCATTTCCAACCCACTCTGGTGCTAGAAAGACGTTCCTTCTGATTTTGCTGCAGCTGACAGTTTTTTGAGGTTCATTATACAGCTAAACATCCAAAGGGGTCGACATGTATGATGTTAATATACATCCTCATTTGTTTAGGACATTATGAACCTAAAAATTAAAAAATCTTACATGTCTAAAGTTTTTTTCTTAGAAATAAACTGACAATCATATGAAAACAAAGAAGTTCAGAGGCAGCTGTTGCTCAGGCTGATGGGTCAGTTCCTGATTGGTTCACATGCCCAGTCTGTGTGGGCGTGTTCCAAACATTTTTGCATAAATGCTGAAGTTATTTGTTAAGGCACTATTATGGCTCACTTATCATATATAAAAAACAAACAAACCAAAAAAAAAAAAGTCATATAAGCAAGCTCCCAAACAGATTTTAGCATTTATCAACACTGAAACAGCACACTGACTTCTGACAAGGAAGTTCCTCTCATTCACTCTCTTTTGGCACCAGCTTCAAGTCTCCTTCCAGACCCTTTTCATGGGTTATTAGCAACACCGCTCAGGGGACTATTAATCTTTTCATGACTTTTTCTTTCCATAAATCAGTGCTAACAGCAAACTTAACCAAGTGAGAAAAAAAACAACGCACTGATTTATTGACTTCTGTTCAATGAAGTCTGAAACAACGCATTTGTATTAATATGGCTTCCACTGATAAAGCTTAATTTAGAAAATGCAATGTAAATATCTAATCTCACCGGGCACAAATAAACTTTGGCTAAACTTCGATCTTGCAGACTTGTGTTTACCCATTGTTGTCTACGCCACAATCTGGTGTGGCTCAGATTAACGACTCAATGAAACCATAAATACGGCAGGTGACTTGGTCAATTATGTGTTTGCTCGTTCAATCACTTGGATATTTTTCTTGACATATTTATAAGTCCAGAGGAGGTGTAGTCGACTGATAAACACACGTGTAAAACAATAATTCACTGATTAGGTTATATGGGAGCAGAACCCAGTGGGAAGAAAAAACAGCCCAAGGCGCCACTTCGACACTGCTGCCATTGTTCACTGACAATCTGACCGCAGGAGGGAGAGAAAATTCCAGCTGTCCAGGGATTTGCTCTAAAGGCTGATGTTTCCAATATTGTGTGTCTTGCTGTTTCTAATCCAACTTCAACAAAATCTACTTCAATGATTAAGAATCCGCTGAGAATAATTACATCTCCACATAATAAACCGTGTTTATTGCATCCCTTTTAATTGGTTTAATCTTCCCTTAAATATCACAATGGATTTAAAAAAAGTCCTAATGTAGATTTCCTATGGCAGATAATTCTCTACTACATTTTTTTATGGCAACTAAGTTATTCAAATGCAGATAAGTAATGCCAACATATGGTTTGGACAATGCCCACATAGTCCCACAGACTAAACCTACGCTGACCCCCTCTCACAATATTATTATTTATTCCAACGTGTTTCTGCATTCTTGGTAAATCGTGCCACCACACCCCCCAACCCAGTTTTCTTCACTAAAACACATCGCTTCTTCAATTTTTTTTCTTTAGACTTGCAATTACCTAGCTTCTTTTTTTTTTACCATTTCTGTGCATGCATCTGTAATTAGAAGCATGTCATTTCCGAGCGTGGGATTGTGGCTCGGTTGTCTTTAATTAGCTGGACTACTCAGTAGCCACAACTACGCTGGCTTCTGTGCATCCTGAGCCAGAAAAAAAGAAGAAATCAGATGAAAACAGTTCTAGGAATTTTGAAAGCTCATTGATTTTTTTGCATCTGATGTAAATGCAGTGATTTTTGCTGTGTGATTATGCAATTATTTAAATGTTACATTCAGTCTGCATTTTCTTCAACACTGACAGAGATTTTTTTTCCTTTTTTTTCCCCCCAGAAGTAAAGTCAGTTCAAGGTTTCTTACTTTCTAACTTTGACAAGTTGTGGGGTTGAAAAGGGATGATGTATGAAAAGAGTGCCTTCTCTGCCGTCATGCGAGCAGAAGGGAACTGGCCTGAGGTTAGGACATTTAATATCTACTGAGAACAGGGGAGGTTTCAGCATTTCAAATATGATTCTAAGTCAGGAGAACAACTTATTGAGCCATGCATCAATGCTGTTCCCTTTCATTGACTAACCTTTCATTAGGGAAAGAGAAAGAATGGGAGAAAAAGCAATAAGAGAGGTAGATATATTGATGGGCGTATTGGCAGGTGCACCTAATTTTGCACCACAAACCAATCTAATGATTGCTGCCCTACAGAGAAAAATGGGATTTAAGGCAAATGTAAAAACAAAATAACTGTGTTTGCTTGTTGGGGGTTTGCAGAGAAAACTGCTGCCTTATTCTTTACATTTTTGTTGTGCACATTGTCGATGGTGACATTATTACTGACCACAGAAATTGCTTTTCCTCTCATTACCCATCACCACCATCACCCTCAGCCCCAAATCTCAATCTTGCATCTATGGTGAACCACCTCACTAACACCAAAATATACCCTGCCCTTCTACCCAGTCCTCATCCTTTATTCTCTAAGCTTCTTCATTTCCCCCTCCCCACTTGTCTCACCAGACTCCAAACATTCCTATTACTTTGGCGTTAAATGGCCCCTGTGTTCTTCTGATTCTCAGGAGGGTTTGGGGGTGATCCCACCCCCCCATTTTCCTTCAATGCTCTCTTTCTGAATGTTCACACTCTGTGACCAGCTGCTTTATATTCCAACTGTGTTAATAGGAGGTCTAGAGGAGAGGGCCACAAGAGACAGGCACATATTCCATAGGTTCACAAAAAGCACTGTAAGTCTTGAAACATAGGGATAGGCAGCCCTGTGGAGAAATGTCACTTGTAAAAGGCAAATGATGTCGATAAGTGTTGAACTCACATGCACAACTCTACACTGCTATAGATTTTTGCATTCTTTTTTATTAGAAATCAATCAGCTAATTGAGAGAGAAGTTTAAATGATGGCCATACTGTAGCAAATCTTATGGCTCCCGCTGCACTGGAGCAGCGGTAAATTATATTTCAATGAAGCAGCACAAAAGTCCCATGTGGGAATACTTAAATTAGCTAAATACGAGGTCGCAAAAATTACATTTATGCTATATGTACATATAGCAGCAGTGCTCTTGCTTACCGTGGACGGTGAGGGTGGCCGATGCTTCTGCCTTGCCCACCATGTTCTCGGCCACACAGGTGTAGGAGCCGACATCAGCCGGGATCACGCGACGTATCTTCAGGGTGTGGTCCTCACGAATCTCATACCTGGTTAAAGTAAATTCCAGGTATTGAATGGTGACACACACACACACAAAATCAGCCACACACTTTCGAACAAAAACTGCAAAAGAACTGTTTGAGTGTTTTATAAAAGGGAGCTGGTCAGTGACTCATACCTTCCTTTGGGCAGGTCGCCATCATCTTTCCTCCAGCGTACAGTAGGAACTGGGTCACCCCGGGCCTCACACTTAAACTCCACACTTTGGTCCACTAACACCACCTGGCTACTTGGGCGACGAACAAAGCTGGGACGTTCTGCACAGATGAAAACAGCAAATCAAACATAATAAACCCAGCATAACATCAAATATGTAGTTTTGAGATTAAAAAATCTTCAATAACTAATGGACACATTCATAAGCAAATTGCATTATGTTAACTGCATTTTGTATTACAAATACCATGTCTAAACATAGTGGATTATTACATGTGCTACAGTCCCTCACAGCTGCTTTAAACCATCACATCAGATAGAAGATCGGCCCTGGTAGTTAACCAGGGTAGTTAAATAATAACCCGAATTTCTGGTACTTGACATCCACCCAAATGCTATAAACCTGTTTCTTCCTCATTTATTTCAAAAATATTATTTAACTTGACTAAATGAGATTTGATGATTTTTAACAATTGTCCCTCTTGTGAAGGGATTATTTTTACAGGAGGGTATCTAGGTCAAAAATGAATTACTGAAACATATGGTCACAGAAAAAAAAACACTTTAGTAATCAGTCTGACGTAAAGTTAGTTCAGTGTGAAGCTGTCAGTCATCTCACATCATGTAATATCATTTTGTTCTCTGGGAGGGGGGAAGGTTAAACATCTGGATTTTGATTTTATTTTAGGCACACAAATAGAAAAGACAATATAAAACAGGCAATGTCTAAGAAACTGTAGCAAAAAAATAGATTATTTACCCAACACTGTAAGTTCGGCTATTTCACTTTCACGTTCTCCAACCATATTTGTCCCGACACACACATACTTTCCAGCATCGCTCTTACGGGCATTTGTGATCATCAGCTTCCCTCCACGTATCTGAGGAATTTACAAAACAGGTTAGAGACTAAGTATGGAGGAGAAAAATATGTTACATCTAAAAAACACATTGAATGCTCTAGTGACAAAGAGAGCAGAAAAAAATAACTTTTCCAGATAGCTCTGAATTCTGCCCATGAGTTTTTATGTCTCAGAAATATGAAACACATTAAGATTCTACTAAAAAAAGTCCTTATTAGGGGTTTACTTTAAACTCTCAACAGCAGAAAACAATTAGATTGCCAAATATGCCACTGTTTTGCATTGTTACCCATTCCTTTCGATGGTAAACTGAAAAAAATAAAAAAATAAATAAAAAAACACAACAAGTTTCAGAGGTAACTCCTAAGGAACATTAGGACTGCAAGTACTTTTACAGTCATGTCAAAGAGCTAGAGAACAGTTTCTTTTTTAAATTATTATTCTTGCATTGCAAATGCTTTAAAGAACATGTTTCATTTATGTATTTTTTGTTGGCTATGTGCAGGTGAGAGCAAGGGAACCCACATTTGCGACCACCACACACTCAACACACACACACACACACACACACACACACACACACACACACACACACACACACACNCACACACACACACACACACACACACACACACACACACACACACACACACACACACACACACACACCAGGTATGTAAATGCATGCTTGTCCAGGTGAATGTCATGTCTGTTATTTCCCATGGCTTTGATTACAGGCCAGAGGAGGTGCTTTGTTCTCAGGCAGTCAGAAAGGCAACCCCGGCCCCAGCACAGGCCCCTCAGCCTCACTCTCAGCTGACAACCATAGCAGTCAGTGCAGACACAAACAATAGTATGGTGCACCAGTGATCTCCATGCTTAGGCAGAGCTTAAGGTTTTAAATGCACACATCAGCCTTCAAGACCAGAACCACCCCCTGCAAGCATGTAATCGATATCCTTATTAGAAAAGAGCTAACAGAGAACTTGAGACACAATATCACAAAAGTCGGCTCTACCCGTGACTACCACGGTAAACCCCGTTACACGAATGATGCTATGCAGACTATGATGTCTTAGTTAAGTTACATCATAGAGATGTACATGTCCACGGGGCAAGTAGGATAAGTTGAAAATTGTTAAAGAAATCTAGACAACGCATTCCTCTGCTTCTGAGGCATTCCTCAGACCTTCACGCTCCAGTTTAATATTCACGGTAAAGCAAAAGGAAAAAAAAAAAAAACACTCAAAGAGGCTTTGGAAGGCTGGCTTATTTAGGGCACCCTGTGGTGCTGCAAGGGTTTGAAGTATCATTATGTTACTGTTTGTTTGAGGAATAGCTTAACAGCTAAAGCACTGTGACACTCACAAAGGCCCAAGGTCAGGGCAGTCCATACAGCAGAGAAAGAGGAGGCTGTGGGTGGGGTGGGGGTGGGGGGGGGTACTGTTGGTTCCACAGGGCTTAAACACGAGGAGCAACTCAAGATCCTGTCCACTTTATGCTCTTACCTCAGTTGGAGTTTCTTTCTCTCTCCTCCTAGCACATGTGAAGTGCCAGAACAACGGGGATCCTGTGAGTGGTTCTAAAGTAAATGAATTCAGCAGATATCTTTTTTGTTCCCTCTGCATGCATTTCCTCTCAATATAACACAGTGCAGCCTGCAGGCTGATGAAAACCCAAACCGTCTGACCATTATCCCAGCATTACAGGTAGAAAGCTCTATCGTGTTGGCTTTTGTCTCATGTCATTTGACATTGCTGATAATGCGACCCCCCACACACACACACACACACACACACACTCAGCATCACGTTTGCTGGTGTTCACACAACAGTTCATTTTCCAAGCTTATCATTAGCTACGAATGTTGAACAAAACAAAGAGGACAATGTGCTTCATTTTAGCCATTTATGTGCTGCTACGGACGCTACGGACAACCTTGTCCTCTGAGAAGACAGTAGAGGTTTAAGTACTGGCTCCCCCACTTGTTTAAGCTTTACCTCTTTGTTCCTAAGAGGCCAGTTTGACAAAGCTGAAAGAAAATGACAACTAGAAGCACAGCAGCATTACAAAGTAACTGAGCAATCTCATTTTTATTTGCTCTGTGGCAAATCTTTCAAACCTGAATATAGTTGACACTGCAAAAAGCAGTCTGCTGTAGTTTACAGACTGCAAAGTGAAACAGACATAAAACATAAGACACTCTCTTTCATAGCCCTTCGTACTGAATGTCACTGAACGCTCTTTATGCTGCATCCTGCAAATCCAAAACGTCTCATCTCAGGGCAAAGAGAAAATCCCCACTGCAGGTGGTTTGGGACCTTAATACAATCCCCACCAATCACCAAGGAGACTGCACGTTTCAGCATGTTGCATAGGAGGAGGAATGAACTGAACCACAGATTACCATACAGGCTGACTGAGGAGGAGGCCTTTAATGAGCTCAGCTGTTGAACTCAACCTTTCAACTTCTGTGTTCCTCTCCTAAGTCCCAGATTCGCTCACCAAATTTACTGGAACATAAACAACGTCTGGAAATTGTTCAAGGGTCGTCCAAGTTCTGTTGACGTGGGAGTCCACGGGACACCATCCAGACCCTCATCTGTCATCACAGTTGATCACATATCTTTAGATGGTCATACATGACATCTAGCGCGACTTTTAAAGTGGTCATTTGGGAACACTCTGTTTGTGGGGTTCTGTGCTTGACGGGAAGTTTACAGTGAGCAACGCCAGCTGTTCCAGTTCCACACAAGGCTCGACTCTGAATAGCTTGGTTTGTACATCTGAGTGCTCGACATTTACTCAAAGCACGTCAGACACCACGTTTATAAAAGCCAACAAAAAATAAGTGTTGAGTTTAAAGGAAATTGTATTAATTATGCAAAAAAATGTGAATAATGCATGAAATAAGATGAAGCAGTCCTGATTTATCTTTAAAGAAAAAAAGGAAATAGTTTGAGGTGTCTCGCAAAGATAATGAGCAATAGTGAAAGGATAAAAAAAGTTTTAAAATGATATAGGAATTTTTTCCTTCATAAAAGATCAAATATATAAACTCTTCTGATGTCACAGTCAAGAGAGTGCACATTTCCACATACAGTATAATTAAATTCCCTTCTAACTGCTTTATTTGCTCATTTCTTTCAGTTTCGCTGCTCAGCAGCCAAATATGAACTCTTAATCTTCTGCAGCTGAGCTTAGAAAACCAGACAGAGAATAGCTGACTTGTTTAGGATGTTTATCTTTAATCAAGGCTCTGTGTCCAACCAAAGTTGTTCCTTAATTGTAACGTTGTGTACAGTTATCTGCCGATGACAGCTACTGAAACACAGTCTAATTATTAATTTAAGGCACAAAGTTGGTTAAATATTTGAAAATAAAGACTATTCTGTTCTACGCATGAACAGCTGATTGATATCACCATGCTGGCTTTGCTGTTGTTGTAATTAAGGTTGGTTGTAAAGCAAATGTAGATGGTTGTTTAGGTTGTGCAGCTGCTGCCGCTGAGTACAACTTTCTCCTCTTTGATTCTGGTCAACTCATTCCTTCCTTCCTGAAATATGCTCCTCCAGGTTGAGCTCATCAACAAAACACCACTAATCAATGCAAAGCTGCTGACGAATGGAGCAGGACAAACTGAAACCTCTGTAATTAAAAGTTGTGGCCAACAACATGCTTTATTTGGGTTTAGGAATTTCTTTATGCAAGCATTCATTCAAACAAATAAACCTTTCGACAAAGGCTAAAGTGGTGCTAATGACTCAGCCTTCATTATCAGGTCACTACAGTTCATAGAGTTAAAAATAGTTTTTATAGCGATCTAAAGACATTGATGTTAACAGCGTTAAAACCACTGGAATACTTACAGTGATCCGCTCATCTCTGTCATCGATATTTACTCCATCCTTTTTCCATGATATGGTGGGTTCAGGATGTCCACGAGGAGGCTGACACTCCAGGACTGCAGGCTCTCCCGCTGCCACGATCACATCTGCAGGGTTTTGTCTGAAATCATCTCGTAGAACTGCAAAAAAAAAGGGGAAAAAAAGGGAAATTACCCAGTTAAAAACACATAATTTTAAGATTTCATATTTTTAATATTTAGCAAAAAAAAATCAAACAGTTTATACAGTTCACATATAGTTGATACTAATTTAAACACATACTGCATGTTCTACAAATCATAATATAAAAATGTAATAATCATTCTCCCTCAAACCAGCAATAAAATGCAATCAGGTAGTCATCAGCATATCTCATAGTCATGACCTTCATTTTTGTTACCATACAGACCTCCAAACAGGGAAACCTACATTCAGCTCATCATCTCTCAGTCATCACTTCTCCATCTCCCCGACATTACATGTTTAGATCTTTTGCATTTATGTCCCTGTTTAGCCTCAACATAGTTGGAATCTATAATGGATCCAGTTGTCATAATGACTAGAAATGATTCTTATTTGCATTGATTTCTGAATATTGATTTTTTTATATATAATGCACTCTTAGATCTTTCATTAAGTGACAAGATCTCCACTATTTCTTGATCGAAGACTGGATTTATTGATGCAAAACTTATGATGAATATGTCCATAATGATAAACTGAGTGATTCTGTTTTCCTTTGTAAGCTTAAAAGAAAGAAAAGGAAAAAGACCTTATCTAAAATAATACTGGTTTATGGAAGTCGAGAAGCACCTTCTCATGCAGCTGAATACAGCTGTAACAAGTGGATTTACTGGTGATATAAACTGATGAATAATTTAAAAAAGAAAAGGGAAATAAAAAGAAACATCACCCTCCATAAAGTAACAGGTTTCCTTTGATCTAGAGTTTCATTTGTTTCATAAATTTTTATTCATTTCATTAAAAAAACAAAATTTTATACACAATAAAGATAAAAAATACAAACACAATGAAATGAAGGGAAGCAGAGAGAAGAACACAATCTTGTAATATTGGCCCCCTTTTTCCTCAAGTATAAATTCAAATAATAATCCTCAGTTAACAAAACAAAACAAGAACAAGTTTGCTACAGTTTTCCCTGGCTCCGTCACCCACCCATATAAAACATAAAGCTGAATCTGCTGTCTTAAAAAATCTGGTTAAACATGAAGTAATATCAGCTTTTAAACCTGCATTTATTACTTCTGTGAATATATTTTATTAGTATCACAAACAGGAGATAGTAAGATTTTTATTTGCTTTAAAGTCATGTCAGTCACAGATCAAAGTCAGAATCACTGAAGGACCCCTCATCTACTGACAGCCTACAAATTCCTGAGTAAACCCTTTAAGCACTTAATGAGTCTATCCCAAGTGCTGCTTGCAGCTTCTTGTAATGCTTGAATTTTCAGTTCAATATGAGAAACCTTATAAAAATAACCTATTCGGGTATTTCTTGCAGAAAGTGTTTGGATCCGCACTTCCAAGAGTAGCAATTGAATAAAAATAGGAGATTATTTGATGAACAATTTTTAAACTCATTGTTGATGGTGCCGAGAAAATAAAAAAAGACAAATATGGATCAATGTTGCAGATTTACACACCTAACCACAGTGTTTGAAAAGCATCTGTAGGTGTTTGATGCCCTGCGTCACGTCACACTCAACACTGCAGCTGTGTGGTGAGTTCATTTTCTACGGTTACCAACAGATCGAATCATTCAGGAATGCAAGTGTGAACACTAAACATCCGATCCATTAAAATCACAGAGTTCATCTGCAGAAACACTGACTTTATTTGTATCAGTGAAGCCAAACTCTTCAGAATAGGATTATTGTAAAAGTCAGCAGCTTCCAGTAATAAAGTGAGTTAAAGCCTGGAGATGCTTTCCCTCGCCCTGACTTATTGGAAAAGAAACATTTCTGCTTTTTTTTTCTTTTTGTATTCAGATTTACTCTTCTATAAACATGATAATGAAAAAATAAACAGAGTCTGGAGGCTAATGCAGAGTTTAATAAATGTATTTTTTTGCTTGACTTTAAAGGTGACATTATTTAAACACCATCTCCTCTCAGCAGGGTCTCCGTCTGCCCCCCAACCGGGGTCACTGTAATTCTTTTTAGCCGACATTCACATGCATTTGTCCCTTTGTTAAATATAAAAATAAAAGATGTATAAAGAGACAAAGCCTGAAAAAAAAGAGATAAAATGCTGATGGCCCAAGTGGTAGTTGGCATCCTTCAGTGTTTATATCAACAGCACAGTGACCCCCTCCACACCGGCACCCACCCGCCCGGCTCCCCCACCTCGCTTCCCTGCCTCCTCCACCAAACCAACACCTCTTTGTTATAAACACAGCTGAGTGCAGCGCAGCAGACAGCCCTGAACATCTGCGTAGTGGAAAACAAATTCCTCTGGGATAGAAGCAGACTGGGGAAGGAGGAGACAGCCAGACAGTCTCTCAGACAGACAGACGGGTCCGGATCTCGATGAGGTACTAACACTCCCCCAAATTCCTTTTTTTTTCCTTGTCAGATGTGGAACTGTGGTTGAATCATTCGCTTCTGGTCTCCTTGGCTCAAACAAGCCTCACAGCGTTGCTCCTTCCTGTATGCGTACTGCAAACGGCCCTGTATGCTCTTAATGTTCCCACTTTGGGGCTCGGAATAGGACGGGGTGGGGTGTGTGTGTGTGTGTGGAAATGGGCCAAAATCACTGGTTTTAGCAAAAAGTTGTCTTTGTCCATCCTGAATTTGCTTAAAACCGATGATGGGATGGGACATGGAGGCCCTTGACACACTCTATATATTAATGTAGAACATCACAGTAAAGAGACTGAATTTCCTCATTACTTTGTATCGGAACAGAACCATTTGCTACTACAAAACAGCTGAACCTCTGTAGACAACCATATTTATCAAAGCAGAGGTTTAGGTCATAGTCTCAAACATCTGTTGGACACTGCCAATTTCCATCCCACCATGCTCCAATGTACTGCAATATAAATTGCTCCCAGGGTCTACAGTAGCAAGCTGAAGCAATTTGCTGCCATCATTTCTTAAATCCAAAACCCTTCCTTANGAGTGGAAAAACCAGATGAGCTTTGTTTTGAGGAAATGAAACCAAGTCAAACAAGTTCCCAACAAATCCTTGAAAGGATACCAAAACAACCCCACAGGGGAATTAAAGGTTTATCAGAAAGCAATTGGAATTGGGCTCTGCAGAGACACAGAGCGCAGCATGGGTCCTGTCTTTAGCTTTGGCTATTTTTTATTTAGGTTTTTTGGAAACAGGGTGGCTAATGCCAATGGGGAAGTAAAGTGAATGATGAGACCACAGAAAATAAATAACAGAGAAGAAAAACAAAGAAGAGGCAAATGAGAGGAAAAAAAGTCTTTCATTAGTGTATTTCTTGTACGTTGTCAGAGCACATGTTTATAATAGTGCATGT